CAAACATTCCAGTACTTGCTTTCATACTATCCATGGAGATCTATGAGACCATTCACGGTTCCTACACATGATGGCAAGAGATATTTTCTGACCTTAGTAGATGATCATTCCACGTATACTTGGATATTTTTATTGCCCTCAAAGGGTGAGATGATTGCAGTGTTAAGGAACTTTCTACTTATGGTTAAGAATGTGTATTCCTGCTCTGTTATATTCCTTAGAGCTGACAATAGTTGTGAGTTCTTTAATTCACATATGATGGAGCTACTTCAATCCTTTGGAATCATTCATCAATATTCATGAATGGACATCCCTCAGTAAAAAGGAGTGGCATAGAGGAGACATATATATTTTTTGGACACTGTAAGAGCTTTGAGTTTCCAAGCATCAGTTCCTCTAAAGGTTTGGGGAGAGTGCTCCTTAACTGTTGTTTATGTGATCAATAGGTTGCCAACACACACTCTTCAAGGCAGGTGTCCTTATGAAGTATTGCATGGTCATCCACCTTGAGTCATTTAAAAGTATTTGGTTGCCTAGGATATGTCACAGACTTGAAAAGAGGAGATAAATTCTAACCTAGAGATATACCTACTATATTCCTTGGTTATTATATGACACAAAAGGGATATAAAATGTATGTCATTCTTTTAAGATAGTTTCAGGATAGCAGAGAAGTGGTGTTCGAAGAAGATGTATTTCTATTTAAATCTCTTCTTGATACCATCTCCTCTTTATTTCCAGTCCTAGATCTAGTCATTATCTCTAAATCAAATTGTAGAGTGGAACATTCTGTTTCTCCTACTGAACCATCCCATGCACTGGATAGAGTTGGTTCTGTTGATGCAACTGTTGAGTCTGCCTTGCCAGAAGCTGATGTAGGAACTACTACCATGTCGGATATGCCCGAGGTTGTTGCGCATACTATGGTATCTGATGTTCCTAGTGCCTCAGCCCAGGCTATTCCTCCAACTCCAACTGAGCCTGAAGGAGGCAAGAAGTCAACTAGAACCAGTAAACCATCAGTTTGGGTGAAAGACTATGTCACTCAGAAGCGAGGCAATGTTAACTGTTGCTACCATATGTCCAACTATGTGTCATATGCCAATATATCTCCCTTATTTAGGACTACTCAAGCTGCATATTCAGCCATTGAGGAGCCTAAGTCTTACTCTTAAGCAGTGAAACATAACTAGTGATTAGAGGCTATGAAATCTGAGATTGCAACTCTAGAAGAAAATAATACCTAGAGCATTATTGATCTTCCTCCTGGCAAGGTACCTATTAGTTGCAAATGGGTGTACAAATTAAAGTATACTGCTTTAGGAGTTGTGGAGACATACAAAGACAGGCTAGTAGCTAAAGGCTATAGTCAACAAGAAATCTTGGATTACACATAGACCTTCTCTCTTATGGGCAAAATGGTCACGGTTAGATCTGTCATTACTATAGCAGTAACCTAGCACTGGCCTATTTTCTAGATGGATGTCCATAATACCTTTCTATAGGGTGACCTCTTCGAAGAGGCTTATATGGATATCCTTCAGGGGTTTGCTAGCCAGGGAGGGGTACACAAAGTCAGCAAACTTCATAAGTCATTGTATGACCTAAAGCAAGCTCCTTGGAAGTGTAATAAAAACTGACAAATGCCTTGCTGGAACTTGGCTTCACTCTAGAATTATTTTGAGTATTCTCTTTTCACCAAGAGTGAATAGGTTACATTGGGGGTTGTCCTGGTCTATGTAGATGATTTGATGGTGACCGGTAGCTTCCCTAATCTAATTGTGACAACGAAGTATGACTTGAAGCTCAAGTTTAAAATGAAGGATTTGGGTGAACCTATATTCTTCCTCGGCATAGAGTTTATTAGTTCAAGAAAGGGAATAGTTACGAGTCAAAGAAAATATACACTAGAGTTCATCTTTGAAATGGGCTTGGAGGATCCAAACCAGCTGGTACTTCATTAGAATCTAATGTCAAGCACACATCTGATGAATATGATTCCTTTATAAAAGGAGGTTCAGTACCTGAAGTGGCAAATGAACATAGTCTATTAGCATATGCATGTCAATATCAGAGGCTAATATGGAGACTACTATATCTTACTGAGGTGCCGTAGAAATGTGGTACTTTCAATAATTATTTCATAGACTTTAGCTCATCTTTTCAAGCATTGTAAGTCATTTTTTAAATATTTTTGGTGTTTTACAGGAAACTGGACTTGAAGAGCCAAGAATATAAAAAAGATGACAAAAATCCAGGAAGAAGGCAGATTTGCGACAGATATGCAACCGCAAAACTGGTCTACAACGCAGACCTATTGCAGACATTATTGGGCCATGTCAGTTTCAAGAGTCAAATATGCGGTTTACTATGCGGTCTCATAACTCATTTATGGACCGTAGAGTTGCCGCACAAATGCAAGAGGACTTCCAGTGAAGGTGAATCTGCAGTCCACTATGCAGCCGCGAAATCATTATGTGGACCGCATAATCAGTATGCGAGGGATATTTGGGAAGCTTGGTGATCATATCTGCGGCGTTGTTAAAGGTGTGCAGACCGCGAATCTGTTCTGTGGTCCATTCTGCGGTCACATTACTTAATCTGAAGGGCTATTTTTATCACATTTTGTCCGCAAATTTTGGGCCACTATAAATAAAATAACTAGGGTTTTGTGGGGGCATCTTGTCTGAAAAAGAGCCTATACTTAGAGTATTGAGCACACCACTTATTTTGGAGCTTTTAGGGAGAGATTCCAAGACTCTGTCTTCTTTGTAAGCTTTTATAACTTTATTTATTGCTTTGTCATTATATCCTAGTATGAGTAACTAACTTTAAATACTATGGTTGTGGACCCTAAGTGGGTGTAATGTTAATATGTGTTTACCATTGAGTATATATATAATGGGTGGTTGATTTCTATTCATTTCTCATGCTTCATTTATGGTTGATGGTTGCAAACATTAACTAGTGCCAATTTACTTTATCTTTCACTTGAAAAAGTGGGTTAGGGTTTGGTAGAATCGAATAGCAAGAACTCAAGGCTTTAAACCTTGTTTAATAGAATTGCTTAAGAATAAGTGGGTTCTACTTGGCATAAATTGGTTGTTCTTAATTATAACTCTTTTATATTTAGAAAAATCATAAAGCGGAAATACCATCTAATTATTGGAAAATATTGGGTAGTCATTTTGGAACCATTTGCATATCAAAGGACCTCCCATTAGAAATATATCATATTAGCACCGATAGCATTATATTCCATTGACAGGGACACAACCTTGGTTTCTTAATCCTTTTAATCAATTCTCTTAACAAAATAGCTTCTCTTAACAAATCATAATTACCAAACTCTTTTCAAACTAACGGAATAAAATTATGGTTTTAGTCGAGTGACAAACTATTTAAGTAATCTTTTCACACATATTCCCTATGGGATTCGACCCCAACCTAGTTGGGCTATTATATCTGACATCTACCACCTTACACTATTTATATAGATATAATTTGAGCGTAACAAATTTTGGCGCCATTGCCGAGGAATATAGTTTTGAAATTACTAACTAGTGTGCTCTACTTTACGTCTTCTTATATTCCATCACACTTTACTTTTTTTGCTTGGTATCATTAGATAAGCATGGGCGAGCCAGATATTGAGAATGTGTTTTTGGATATAGATGAGTATATTGAGGATACAAATGCCATTGCCCCTTCTAGAGTTGACACTGCTACCTTCAAACCGGAACATAATCTAATCCTAATGCTAAAGGCAGGGGTGTTTTTCCGAAATTCCACCGGCGATGACCCAACACAATACCTTAGAAATCTTTTTGGGTGTGTGTTCAATGCATAAGCAGAATTATGTATCGGATAATTCCCTAAGGTTGAGGGTGTTCAAATACTCTTTAGCCGGAGAGGCAAAATAATGAATCCAAAATCTACCTCCTAATTCTATCCACACTTGGGCCGAACTTGTGCAAGTTTTCCTAGCAAAATGGTTCCCACAAAGCGAGAAGTCCGAGCTTCGGGACAAAATTTTCTTCTTCAAGCAATTACCGAGGGAACAATTACATGAGGCATGGGCTAGATTCAAGTTGTATTTGGCGAGATCACCGAATCATGGGTTTCTGAAAATTATTTGTTGAAGTTTTACAAGGTTTTGGATCCTATGAATCAATCGATAGCAAAAATGCGGCGGATGGATCGTTCATTGATAAAACATTTCCAAGGGTCACTCAAATCCTCAACAAGATGGCCGAACACAACCAATCTTGGCATTCAGAAGACACCACGGGTGGAATCTCATATGGTACCCCTTCTTTGACCAACATAGTTAAGAGAATCAAGAAAGAGATCAATTAATTTTTGGGCTTGCTACTAATGTCATTGTGTTGAAAAAAATATTCACTGAAAGCCAAACAAAGAAAGTAAATGTTGTGGAAGATGTGCAACCAATGTCAAATAAAAACCACCATCATCAACAAATCCACTAACAAGACTATCCTCCTATGCAATACGAAGAAGAAAATTATGTTAACAATTCACAAGGAGGATATTAAAGACAAAACTACTAAGGATCGGGACCACAACACCAATGAAGACCTAACCCACTAGGGCAAGGTAACCAACAATGGCGAAATGCCCAAAGTAGTTCTAATCAAGGAAATTGAAGCAACAACAAAAACAATTTTACAAACTGGAGTCCAAACCCTAATATTCCACCAAAAGGGCAATATTCTAACTCTCAACATTGGAAGGAGAGTTTTTCAAGCGATTCCAAGTTGGAGAAAATGCTTGAAATAGTATTGCAAAATCATGAGAGAGAAAACACTTCAACAAAAACTTTTACCGAGCTTGTGGGTTCTCATACCGTATCTATTCAAAGGTTAGAGATGCAAATGAGGGATTTCTCAAGAGAACAAAACCTGAAATAAAAAGGCGTACTCCCAAGTGATACAATTACAAACCCAAAAGGTAGTGGGGGTGTCCCAACCTCTCATTGAATGACCATTACAACTCGAAGTAGAAAACTACTTCAAAGTGAGAGTGAACAGGTGGTCGTAGTGGAAAATGTTGAACAAGAAGATGAGGTGCAAGTTGAGGTACCAAATGTTGTTGAAGTTAAAAGAATCCCGAAGAGGGTGAAAGCTAAAGATGTGAGTCGTGAAAAGGTTGAGGAAAAAGTAATAGAGGCACCAAAACCTCTAGTACCGATTCCTAGACCTCCTACTCAATTTCCTCAAAGACCAGCTAAAAGGGTTGATGATAGCAAACTCGAGAAGTTCTATGATATTTTAAAGCAATTATCGGTGAACATTCCATTTATGGAAGAGTTTCAAGAGATGTACGGTTTTTCTAAGTACTTGAAGGACTTGATCACTAAAAATAAAACCATCAAGAATGAAGTGGTGAGTTTCACCTACCGGGTTAAATCCATCATTACAACAACCACCGTCCAAAAGAAAGAGGATCCGGGGGCTTTCATCATTCCATGCATTATTGGATTGCATGACTTTGCACAAGCTCTTTGTGATAATGGGGCTAGCATTAAATTAATGCCTCTTGATATCTAAAAGCAAGCAGTATTGTGAATTCCTAGGCCTACAAGTATGAGGATGCAAATGGCCGCCCGTTCGATAAAGCGACCGGTGGGGATAGTGGATGATGTGCTTGTGAAAGTGGGGAAGTTTATCCTTCCCATTGACTTTGTTATTCTTGATTGTGTTATTGATAAAGAGATCCTTATTGTCTTAGAGAGGCCATTCCTTGCAACCAGGAGAACAGTCATGGATTCCAAAAGAAATGAGATTAAATTCTGGGTTAATGACGAAGAAGTTACCTTTCAAGCAAGTAAGGGCATGAAGTTGCCAAATGCATATGAGAGTATCTGAGTACTTGATATTATTGATGAGATAGAAGATGTCGTTGAGGTAAAGATGGAAGAGTAATGCCTTGGCGAGGTATTGATGGCAATTTTGATGAATTTTGATGGTGAGGACATAGAAGGATGTGTGAGGACGATGAACGAATTTGAAGGGCTTGGTTCTTACACTTATGCACCGAAGAAGCTTTCTCTTGGCTTGGAGAATAGAGCCACTCCTCTTGACTTCAATCGTCGAGCCGCCACAACTTGAACTCAAGCCACTTCCACCGTACTTAAGGTATAAATTTCTTGGCTCTAATGAAACTCTACCCGTAATTGTTTTCTCTTTGTTAAATGATGTGCAAGTTGAAAAATTATTGGAGACCTTGAGGGAGCACATACGGGCCATTTTTTGGACTATAGCGGATATCCGAGGGATTCCCCGGTATTTGTGAGCAAAATCCAACTAGATAATGATAGCAAACATAGTGTTGAGCATCAAAGGAGGTTAAATCCCTCCATGCAAGAAGTGGTGAAGAAAGAAATTATAACATGGTTGGATGTCGGGGTTGTCTACCCCATTGCCGATAGTCCTTGGGCGAGTCCGGTGCAATTTGTGCCAAAGAAGGGAGGCATGACCGTGATTCAAAATGAAAAAATTGAACTCATTCCAACGAGGATGGTGACTAGGTGGAGAGTTTGCATGGACTACTAAAAGCTCAATAGTGCTACTTGAAAATACCATTTCCCTATGCCTTTTATTAATCAAATGCTTGATCAGCTAGTGGCAAGGTCATTTTATTGCTTCTTGGACGGTTACTCTGGATAAAATCAAATTAACATAGCCTTGGAGGACCAAGAGAAGAAGACATTCACATATCTGTATGGGACCTTTTATTTTATTCAGATGCCATTTGGGCTATGCAATGCCCTAGCTACCTTTCAACGGTGAATGATGTCGATTTTCTCGGATATGGTGGAGGATTTCTTGGAAGTATTCATGGATGGCTTCTCTGTAGTTGGTGATCGAGCATTGCCTTGATAATCACAGACAAGTACTCAAAAGATGTGAGGAGACAAACCTTATGCTTAATTGGGAAAAATGTCACTTCATGGTGGAAAGGGTATTTTCCTTGGCAACAACATCTCCAAGCAAGGCATTGAGGTTGATCGAGAAAAAATTAAAGTAATATCCAAGCTTCCTCTTCCCACTTCGGTCAAAGGTGTTTGGAGCATTTTTGGGCATGCCGGTTTCTATCAGTGATTTATCAAAGACTTCTCAAAATTGCATGCCCTATGTTCAAGCTCCTTGAAAAGGATGCTAAATTTGTGTTTGAACTTATTCAAGCTCACCACGACACCTATTATTGTCACACCCGATATGTCTCTTCAATTTGAACTTATGTGTGACGCCAGTGGTGTGGCTATTGGGGAAGTTCTTAGTCAAGAGCACAACAAGATTCTTCATCTTGTCTACTATGCAAGCAAGACACTCAATGGCGCACAAATGAATTACACCATAACTGAGCAAGAACTGCTTGCCATTCTCGATGCTTTTGAAAGATTTCTGGCCTATTTGTTGGGATCCAAGGTGATAGTTTATAACAATCATGATGATCTCCGCTACCTTATGGAAAATAAGGAAGATAAACCGAGATTTATTAGGTGGGTCCATTTGTTAGAAGAGTTTGACTTTGAAGTCAAAGATAGAAAAGGAACAGAAAATCAAGTTGCATATCACTTGTCTAGGCTTGAAGAGGTAGGGAGACCAAAGGAAGATCTTGAAATTAATGACACCTTCTCAAATGAATACCTTTTGGCAATATCTAGAACTTTAACTCCTTGGTATGCCGATATAGCTAACTTCTTGGTTAGTGGCAATATCCCCGACGAATTGGAACTTTATCAAAGAAAAATGTTCTTACGGGATTATGGGCAATACTATTGGGAGGAACCCTTTTTATTCCGGATATGCGCCAACAACATCATTTGGAATTGTGTTCTAGAAGATGAGTTTATGTCGATTCTCAAAGCATGTCATGACTCTCCAGTTGGGGGTCACCATGGTGGAAGTCGTACGGCGGCGAAAGTGCTTGAATGTGGCTTCTATTAGCCATCGATCTACCAAGATGCAAATCTAATGGTCAAGGCATGTGATCAATGTCAAAGACAAGGGTCAATTTCTAGAAAGCATGAGATGCCTATGAATTTTGTGATGGAGGTAGAGATCTTTGATGTGTGGGGGATCGATTTCATGGGTCCCTTTGTAAGATCATATGGCATGACGTATATCTTAATAGCAGTGGACTATGTCTTAAAATGGGTGTCGCGCCCTTTTTTCTCGTGAAATCGGGCCTCGACGTGTGACAACTCTTTTGGATGGGAGATAGAGTGTTAAAATAAGAAGACTTGCCACCTAACAATTTTAAGGTGCGTTAGGGTACCTATTATGCAGATAACTCTATTTGACTAGTCAACGCCACCAAAGATCGGGTAAGGGCTTAAATTACCTCAAAGAGAAGGTGTTAGGCACTCTTCGAGGTCCACAACTGTGGGTCCCATCCGAACAGACTATGTGGATTATAATTAGGCGAGACGATCAAATAAACAAAGAGAATAAAAGGTAAAAGAGTTTCATTAGAACACAATGAGAATTGGTACAAATCTAGGACTACAAGGATACAACTATAACGGTCTATATTAGATGACTAAGTGAATAAAGGAAAGGGGGGTCCTAAGTTTTTTAGCCTAAAGGATCACCCCATGCAACATAAATAATACATCGCAACTCCTTTTAGATAAGAATTACTTATATTATTCAGTGGGCACAAACTATCTTCTCCTGCTACCCGATTACTATGTTAAAGTTGTTTACCTAAAGCATTCTAATTCAGTTCTAAATCATGTCCTATGTGTGCACTACCCGTCCCATGCATATAGTCCAGGAATCTTTGGACCTCTATTTGGGATGGTTCTAGACTTACTTAGGCTGCTCAAAAATGATAAAACTAGGCGACAGTCAAAACAAATAGGACTGCACATAAAGACAATTGATGGCTCAAGTTGGCCTCCACATGTAAGCAACAAATCCACGCAAGCAGATTTTACATTAGGCGGTAGATAATCCCAGAATTGAGGCAAATTAGAGTCATTAAGCCCTATAGGCATGGTTTCTATGTGACTTTGATTTTAAGCACACAGGCAGTGCTGATTATGTGGAACAATGAATTTACAGATTATAGGTGTTACAAATCCTATAGGCATAATCTCTAAATGAGGCAATAAAACCGTTTGAAAGCTTGAAATAATTACCCGCGTTTGATTTTATTAGCATACTTTCTAGGCGAATAACAACATCCTATAGGCAGGATTTCTAAGAGTTGGCAATTGAAACTGATTCTATAATACTTTGTCCCTATAGGCATATTTTCTAGGCGATCAATATGATAGAAATAGCAATAACAATAGCTAATTAATCAATTAAGATCTCGTAGACATGATATCAAGATGATGATCAGTAGGACATAAGTTAATAATAATCTTATAGGAATGGTATCTAATAAATATGTTGTAGTTACACAAATTTAGCGAACAGTTATTGACATTGATTTCCTATAGACATGCTGTCTAATACTGCAAAGTAGTAGGCGTAGTAAAACAGGTTGAGTGTGTGATTCCCTATAGGCATAGTTTCTACTAGTGTACATGGAAACTAAATAGCATATATGGAAGGTTGAATAAAATAACAAGTAAGTCATGTAAATCCTATAGGCATGTTTTTCTACCCTTTTATGCAAACATTAGAATATACCTATTTCCCCAATTTCACTAACACCCCCATTGTTTGTTATTACAAATTATTACAAGCCCAAAGAATATAAATATAAATATTACACGTGAATAAGGCTACAGGCCCAAGAGCAGGCCTAAAAAAATAAAGATAACCCAGCATTGTCTGGGCCTTCAACAAGCTCAATTTCCACAAAAAGCATGCCCAAGTCCAAACATCTCTCAAATAGGAGACTTTGTCCATCGGCACAGCCCAAAGTCACAAAGGAACTCATGCCAGGCCAAACGGTCACAAATTGACTATATGACCCAAATAAATTATCAAATCACACAAATATCAATTAAGGAACCCCGTTTACAGATTCAACAAACACAATAAGAGAGGCAAGCTAAGTGTCAGAGACAGCTTAAGTTCCACCAGCAAAGAGGGTGGTCTAAGGACCCCAAATCCTAGTGTGTCAGAGTTCATAGGAGTCTCAAATAGACCCCGAGCAGTACTCACACTAGGGAGGTCAATAGAGAGAGTTTTGGTAGCCTTGGCTTTCTACCGGCCAAGAGCGATAGGTTCAGAATAATATAAATAATAGATGAGAGTGAGAGAACATTGATTAAGTGATAGAAATTGAAGAGGTGCACTTGTACTTTAGAAGCAGGCACAGCAGAGTTGATTAAATACAGAACATGCCAGTTAAGAGAATCAACAAGACTTAGAGGACAGGTTGGTATTACAGGTTCAAACACTTAGCAAGAGATAGCACATTGGCAGGAAAACATATTGAGAGTTAGGGGAATCAGGTTTTCTGAGATTATAAGATCAACATATAAGGGTGCACAATTCCACACAAATTCAGAATAGAGCATTAACCTAAAGGATTTTTAATGTCAGTCTAGTACAATAAAATTTCTAGCATGACAGTTCTA